ACACAAACACACACACACACACATAAAAACACGCAAAACACATACACGCAGATACACAGGAGAAACACACACAAACACACATACAGAGATGCACAAAACAATTTCCTAATGCCGAGAATTGGCTTTTGTGCAATTTACAGTCTTCGTGTACTTAAAAATAATTTGAAATTTGAAGTGTTGCTGCACTTGCGATAACTTCAAATGCCAAATGAATTGCACACACACGAGTGTGAAAGAGATAGCAGAAAAAGGGATAGAGCTAGACATTAGAAATGCTGAAATGGAGCAACAAAATGGCCCTGAGGATGATGGTATTTGGACGAAAATCGATGGAAATTGATGAAAACTCTGGCTTGGGTTTGTGTGCCACTTAAAGCCGGCTTTAGATCTTTACATGCCCCACCTCCAGGGGGCCAGGCACCATGGCGAAGTTAAGCTCTGGCCCCATTCGCCAGATTAAATTCAGATACCGGCTAGGCCATGCCCCACATGGATTTCCATGCGTCACGCATCCAGCCCCTGGGCCAACTGTCCAAGCTGTCCCTGGCAACGTGTCTCATGCATAAAAACTATCGAACAGAACCGAACAGAACAGCCAAAGCCATCATCCTGATTTGCCCCCAACAAACATTCGTGATATGCTATAAAAATTCACACACATAAAACAAAACAAAAAACTAAAGAGAACCAAGTGAAAAATAAAATGTGGGCAAAAGCAAAAAAAAAAACACCCTGAAACTTTTTGAATATTTAGCAAAAATGTCAACGTCCAAAAGCGAAGTAGAACAACTGACCGAATTTGAATTGAGGAAAACAAAAAAAAAATATAACAAAAAAATGCGAGTACGGGAGAGAGTTATGCAGAGAGCACTCGGCAGGAGCCACTGGCAGGGTCGCTGCTATGTGGAAATATTTTTGGGGGCACTGTCACAACATTCGGCATGCCACCACAGCACACAGAGGCACACACAGCACTTGGGCCAGTGCCACTGCCACTGCCAACTAGAGACCCCGCTTAGAGAGGCTCGAGCACATACCACAGCTCTCTAGCAAGTTGGAATGCTAGAGTCAAGTGCAACGGCTACGAGATACCCGCTACTCATGTCGGTTCTTCTGGTTATGATGCACTCCCAGAGCCAGGGAGAGAGAGAGAACATTATATCTCTATTCCCCATTTAGACAATAAATGTTCTTAAATTCCTGTTTCATTAGGAGTGCCAAAGCATTCTGTTACAGTTGCTTGCGCTGTTGTGGAAAATACAACAATTAGTAAAGAAAATTGCCAGAAAAGGTTTTATTGCAATATTTTGTGCACAATTATTATTTGACAAGAATTGTAATGATTTCAGCCAGTTAGTAGCGTAATTAGACCATCTTTGGCAGCAGGCAAACAAAACACAGACAAAAGTCTGGAAAAGAACAACAGACAGCACAACAAGGAGGCGAGGCAAGGCAACCCTTTTTGGAATCAGTTGCAGTTGCAATTATAATTTCAATTTTACGATTTTTCAAGTATTTTCCCCCACGAAAGCCGTGCAGACATTCATTCCTTCTTTGCTTCCATAGTTGCCACGTTCATGGCTGCCTCAACCAACCCAAGAAACTCCTTGGATACCCCCCAAACCCATTGTCTGACTTTTGTTTATGTGAGTTGTGTGCTCCGAAGTGGCTGGTTAGTTTCAATTCTGGGCGAAAACCCAAAGACAAAGGAAAAACAGAAATTGTGTATCTATATACAGAAGTAATCTAGAACTGCAACTGCAACTGCAGCCCAGTGTGCTTTGGAGTCACAGTTCTACTTGGAGTTCTTCTGTCAGTCCAAGCACTGAAGCAGTCATTTGTGGCATAATACTTAATTGCTGTTTGTGTGAGTGCTTCAACCAAATGGGTTTCTATTCTACTCTCCTCAACTCACCTGCTGGCTCACGTGAGAGATTATTGGGTGATTGTTCATGGGGCGAATTTATATCAACAAAAAAGTTGCATGTTTTTGCCCCGTTTGGAATTTCACTTTCATCCCGGATAATCAAACGACTTCACGTGCCCGAAATGGATTCCGTTTCCCCCACCAAAAAAACCGATTTGATTTCTCTCTTCGCCTCTGTGTCAATTGTGTGTTGGATGCCGCTTCAGGGTTTTTCCCCCCCAACCCATTCGCATTGGAAAAGCATTTACATTTCGCTGTTTCTATCTCTCACAGGCAGCGATTCGTGCTCGTTAACAAAAGATACATATGTATCTGGTAGATGTATCTTGGCTTTTGTGCTTGCTCGCTCGCTCGCTGCTTTCTTATTCTGCTCTTGCTTGGTTAGATTTAAATGCCGAATTTTCAATGCAGCACACATCATGCATGGGAATGGGGAATTGGCGGGCAAAGAAGGGGATGGCGGCTGTAGGAAGGACATGGACATGTGCTCACCTGTGTGTATCTGTAGCTGGGCCACGTGAGAGTGTAATCACTTGTACTTAATATGCAGATGATGACAATGTGACAATCAAACCGATTCCAGGTCGCCTGATACTCTCTGTCTCTGTGGCCTCGCCTCCCGTCTCCATCTTCGCCGTTCCATTGCCTGTGATGTTATGCGAATCGGATTATTATTATCATTGTTATCGCCTATCGTAAAAGGCAAAAGCAAAATGCGCATTTTTCTCCGCTCCACCTTCCTGCATGCTCCTTCCCATGTATGTGTGTATATTCCCCCGTGTTTGTTGCTGTGTTCCCCCTGTTTCGAGTGCGCAGATTTCCTTGAGGCATAAACGCATTAGACCTTGCCTCTTCCTCCCCGTTAGCTGTTTGAGTCCTAAAAAGGCAATTTGTTTGCATTATGATTTTTATCTTTCTGTTTTTGAATTGTTTGTTTTCATTCGGAATTGCTAATGCATTGAAATAGAAAAGGAATATAAGGGGCAAAATGGCTTAGGGGCTATTGGCTTTGTATAGGAAGTTTCTAAGCCGGCTCAAGAGAGGATTATAATTATTTCTGTTCATTGACACCTTAAAGCAAATCTTTCCCTATTAAAATTTTACATAATTCTACATAATTCCCTTTATATTTGATATAAATCTGATGACTCTATCGCTATGCCATGTATTTTATGGCCATTACACGATGTAATGTTTCCATAAGTCATTCCATTGAAACCAACAAGAGTACCGTACCCCGACAAGGGGTTAACTCCCTTTGTGGCATTCAACAGCGCTGAACATTCCCTCACGCGGCACCATTGTGGCGGTCATTTCATTTGGAAAATGCACATTTTCATCTGGCATGTGTTAATGCACTGTACGGTGGATGGAGGGGGAGCGAGCCAGCAGCAGGCAGCCTGCAGTTTGTGGTATAACTTCATAAAAATGCCACCCAGTTGCACCACAAGATTTACTGCAGTTGGCAACAGAAAAAAAAGTACATACGTGGAGGAAGCCAGCGAGCGCCGTTTGCCAGTCAAAAGTTGTGGCTGGGGCGATAAATGGACTGACGAACGCGAACGCGAAAGGATAACAGCTGGATACACAGGGAATGGGTGGCTGGCAGGTTGTACGCGCGAGTTCAGTATGTTTGGGATCGAGTTTGGGGCTTGGGAATACAAATGTGCGGGGTGTGCAGGGGGGGGGAAATGTTTGTTGGTTTTACTCAATTTGTTGCTGGCCTTTTGCAATGTTGCTTTGGGGGGTTTCTTCTTGTTGTTGTTCGTTTTTGTTGTTGGCTTTTTTTGGTCGGTGAAAACACACTCGAGGCTGCAAAAAGCGAAGCGAAAAAATGGAAGCCCATTTTGGGGGGGCCCTCGACATTTTAACTGAAATGCAACAGGAGGCCGCGTGTTAATGCTGAAAAAAGGACAACAGACGCCAAGGACCCTTTTGGCAGCAAAGTGGCAAAGTCGTGACGAACTCTGCCCTCACACAGAAAACAGCAGGAGGGTGCCACGGAGCAGAAGGAAAGATGGGGCAGGGCGTGCGCCACCAGCTGGATGTCGCGGTCACTTTTCATGCTTTCTGTTGAGCCTTTTCTGATCCTTTTTTTTCATTTTCTGTTTAATTTTCCCTTCATTCGGCGGCAGCAGCAGCAGCAGCAGCAACAAATGTCTGAGACTGAGAGTCACGCGCTGAATTTAATGCCCAGCCAATGCCCCCAAAAATGAGGCGTGTCAATGACTCTGGGTCACCAGAATGGACCCCGCCTTCGGCTCAGCCGCCTCCGCCTCTCAGGCTCTAAGCCCTCTACTTGTTCTTCACGAATCTGATTTCTGACATCCTTCTGATTGCCCGTTTCGAGTGCAAAGAGCATTGAATGTCTCTGGTTGATTCTCTTTAAATAGTTTTTTGTTACTCATACGCACCGTTGCACGAACAGCAATTTATTTGCTGAGAAAACTACAGTAGAAAATGTGTTAGAGGAGATGTTTGAGTGTTTTGAGTGAAAAGTACCACAAAAATTCGACAAGTAGAAGTCTACTAATTTTCATCACTGCGAATTCATTCATCATTGATTGCTGCAGCAGATACGAGTAGTAGCGCTGCTACCTCTCTCTCTCTCAGATTCACATAATTTTGCGAGCAAATTTAATTAGAATCTCAGCTGTTGTTTCACTTGTTTCACGCAGTCAAAACCCGCATGTGTTGCTTGGGAATTTAATTGCTTTACAAAGCCGCAGCATAGACAAACAAAAGTTCCGCAACCCGCACCCAAAAAAACACACAAAAAAGAGTTAAACCTAAGGAAAAGAGACACAGATTTACACAACACACAACCGTAGAGAGAGAGAGAGAGAACCCGCAGTGGCAGTGGCAGTTGTAGTCACAGTCTGTGAAGGCAATTTCAACTTTTCTCTGCCTGTGCCGTTGTACTTAATGGAAAATGACTTTATTTTAAGCTGGTCTGTGTATGCCTTAAGCGCCTATTTTCAACACTTGCGACCCAAGAAAACAAGCCAGTAGAAACGAGACAGTAACCCAAACCCCAAAGGCAACAACGAATGAGGTAAAACATTGGAGACTATTCAATCATAAATCGCTTGTAATTTAACGTTAATCCTCGGCGGGGAACAAACTCTCAATGTTATTGCAGTAGGCAATTAGGGTGTTATCGTTGTCATCGGGATAGACTTGGCCCAGAAATTCCATTAGTTCCGGTTGACGGGAGACTGTTTCGGAATACTCGTCAAACGAAATAATGCCATCCTTGTCAATGTCGAATTTATTGAACAAAAACTCGACCATGTCCTGCAGGCAGAGATTGAGAGAATCATAATATGTATCTAGAATTAATCAATTTACTTACCGCTCGCAGTTCCTGAACCTCATCATCGTCTTCGCCAACAAAGAATTTCTCCACAGCTATGGCCACAGTCTCGCGGTTAAGGATCTGTGTGCCAGCACTCGTATAGACCTGCAATAAATACAAATTTTAGGCATCTCTGCATGCAGTATCCAGAGCATTACTCACACTGTAGGCAAATCGCATGCGATCGTGCAGGTTGCGGCTCAGAAATACCGAAAACAGCTGCATCCATGCATCCGGGGAAACAGTACGCGCATCTTGCGTAATGTTTATCAGAATGCGATCGATGATGCTGACATCGAAGATCTGAAACAGCACCAGAAAGAGACCATACAGCTGATTGGTGGTCATCAGCCGCGAGGCGGGCACATTGACCAGCGAGAATTTGTAGTAGACGATCAGCAGGCAGACGACTTCGTTGTAGCTAAAGTCCGTGGAGGCGGCATAGCTCTTGATCACACTGTTGTAGAGGGTCAGGAATTTGTTGTTGGCCATGTCGTCCATGGAAGCGTCAATGCGATTCATATTGTTGTGGTTTTGTTTGGTTTCTTTTGGGTGCTTTTTAATTTAAGTTTTATTCTTTGTGTGTTTATTTAGTTTGGAGTACCTAGTAAGTGTTCCTAGCTGTTCCGGTTGTGGGATATTTGTGGGTTCCAAAAGGGAAGTATGTGCTACAAATTGATTAACATCTCAGTAGCAGGGGCAGGCCTACTTGGGTCACAATATATATGAACACATATGCGGCTAAGACAAATCACAAATAGATTGGGTAAGTCAGCAGCAGTAGCAGCCAGGAAAGCAGCAGGAAGTAGGAGTGGAAGGAATGCGCTTGTAACGAGCACAATTTAAAAGCAATAAAACCAACGGCGAGACATAAAAAATACATCAGCCACGGTACATGGACTACATCTGTCCCCCATTTTGGTGTTGGTTGTGTGGTGGGGGGGAGGGGTCTTTCGAAATAAATATTTGAAACAAACACACACAAAGGGCAAAAAAGGGAGAGAAAAAGAAAGGAATGAATGGCTCAAAGCTGTGCGCATGAGAAACGCGAATATAATAATCCAAACAAAAGCGTTGAGATGGGTGTAAAGCCCTGCCATGTGGAAATTTGGCGGAAATGGCTGTGTAGCCATTTTGTTTGTGGGGTGGGAGGTAAGAAATGTTCAGCCGCCTCCTTTTGCTGCCTTTCCTTTCCCCTTTGTTGTGTAATTGTGTGCCACACACACACCACACACACACATGCGACGCCCTAAGAAAATACCCAAAATAAGTGCGAAGGGTGCTGCTGCCCCAAGAGGTGCAGGGGAACGGCGGCCTCAACCGCTCGACACGGCATAATAACAATAAAATGGAAAGGAGAAAAAGAGCTAAGAGAAAAGATTAACATTTGGGGTGAAATATTGAATACCCTTACGGATCTATATAGTTATCAGATTGCGGACTAGTAATAGCAGTAAAAGGAAAGCTCAGAGTTAAGTTTCTGCAAAGAAATGGAAATTATCCCCCTTTTGGCTTGGCAAACATCTCCTTAAAGTAATAATACGCTGGAGTAGAAAGAGTATGCAGCTCCAGCAACGAGGATTCACGCTCCTTAATGTCTCCAAAAGTTGACATCGCCAAGTGTTGGCGGATTTACACACAGAGGCAGAGACAGCGAGCCACACATGGTGCCAGCGTGGAGTCGTGTCTGGATTTTTGGTTTTATTGTACTTTTTGGTATAGAATTTTGATTGATACATTTTGCATATGGTATTTGGAGAAGACTTAAATCTGTAAAATTTCGGGGATAAGTAAGACAAATTGTGGCGTGACGCAAAAATTTGGGAACAATTTAATTCACATAAAACGGTTAAGGCACTCAGCAGCAGAGCAAAGGAGGAGAAGATGGAGGGAGTAAATTTCTTGACAGCATTTACTTTGAAGTACATTTTTAAATAGAGAGAAAGAGAGGGAGAGAAACCAGCAGGCAGGCCCTGGATAAATAACCACAAACGAAACCAAAACAAAACTAAATCAAATTTAAACAGAACAACTCCAATACTATCCTCACATACATCAAAATAAATCCCAGAATCCTTCACCATGGATTATCTAGATGCCAGCATCGATAGCATGGAGAACAGTCGCTTTGTCGCCCTATTTGGTGGCTTGATCCGGGAACTTATGGCCAATACGCATCTTTCCCAGACGGACATCAACTGTCTGCTCATGGTTTACTACAAATTCGCCAAGGCCAATGGGCCGAGTGCCCGGAAGATGAAAAAGGTTCAGTTCTATCAACTGTTTCTGGTGATGTTCAAGGTCTCGAATGTGCAGACCATAGATCGCACTCTGTTTGCCGTCACCAGGGATGTGAAGTACGTGAGTCCACAGGCTTGGGTGCAGCTTTTCAGTCTCTACACCACCAAGGATCTCTCAGTGCGTATGCGCTTTGCCTTTAAGGTGAGTCTACGTTTCTTTTTCCCACTATAAGAGTTGATAAATTTTGGGTGCTTTGCTTTGCCTTGCAGATCTATGATACAAAGGGCACTGGCTTTATAGATCGCGAACAAATAAGTCTGGCCTGCGAGAAATTCTTCACTGGCGAGGACGAGGATGAGATCACTGAACTAAGAGCGGTAAGGCATAATAAATACAATAATATATAATATTATATGGGTCTAATGTTCCCCTGCAGGACATGGGTGAATTCATGATTAAGAAGTTTGATGTCGACAAGGATGGCTTGATCTCGTTTGAGGACTACTCCACTGTCGTCTCCGAGCAGCCTTGTCTGCTGGAGTTCTTGGGCTGGCTCTTTCCCAACCCCGATGACAGGGAAATAATGGCCCATTGCATTAATATGGATTCGATTCTGACCGATTCAGAGCGTCCCACCTAATTGATTGATTGAATTTTATTATGTTTCAAAGCTATTAAATATATACATTTTTCCTGGGAGCAGTGGAATCCTTTTGAATGCTTAAATTTATTACAAAATATTTCGTGTACATTCTTTAAGCTTTGTTGGATTATATCCCCCACTCCCCCTCTAAGACAACTTTTGTTCTATTCCATTACATTCATACTGGTTTATTCCTCAGAGTGATGCCATATTCCAGTTAATCAATGCTTTTGATGTTGCCCCCGGGGCCCACCTACTTCATGCCACGGCACGGCACGGCATTTGTGGCCAGCATATGGCACTCGACCTAATTCAGGACAACCCATAATTATATGCTCACAATCACGGCAACGGGAACGGCAATGGCAACGCCCCTGCCCACCACATATGTATATGCGATATGGCGGTAGAAGTCGGTTAAGTAGCTCATTAACTTCAATACATTTGATTACATTACATATGATGTGAGGGTGGGGGGTTTAGGTTTAGGCCAAACAATTTGTGAATTGCATATTCGAGTCGACCATCTCATTCTATCACCCATTTGTCTGTGCCTGTGCCTGTGTCTGTATCTGTTAATTTGCTCAATTCAATTGGCATTTGCCCGTATTTGGGACATGGCTAAGCCACAGAATGCTCACGTATTGCCATGATTTGGCATTTATGTAGTGGCATTATGTGATGCGAATTGCTTTACACTAACCAACCAATGCCTGCTGGTTCCCTTTCTGATTGCTCCAGTATTTCTGTTCTATTTCCATGCATTAAAAGTCTGCTATGGACATGTGAAGTTGAGGCAAAGTTTAAATGTGTTTCATTTAAAGTTTGGTAAATGGTTTAATCAATAGCTGCAGTTGACACTGCTGGCAGCTACATGTATCTGTATCCTATATTAACGGATTGAAGCCCAGCATGTGGCCTCTGGCTAGATAGATGGTCGGTTGGTCAGAGTCAGAGTCAGAGGGCTGCATATATGGAGTTGTCCTTTTGTTGAACTTGTCCCGGCACTCACTCGCTCGCTACCTCCCTCCCTCCCCACCCTTTTGGGTGTGGTTCGGTCTCGCTGGCATCAACATTAATTATCCTTGATAATAATCATGCAATTTGTACGTGAGCCGTGGCCATGTTAGCCATCCTGGGGGCAACGACAACGGCAACGGCATCCATGCTGTGGTCTTTATTGTGGCATTAACAGCAGTGGCATGGCAAGGCACGGGACGGCCTGCAGCAGTAGCAGCAGCAGCAGCAGCAGTCGTGGCAGCATCATTATGCTCATTATTGTCGTCAAAGGCACGCAGCTGGGCGTGGGCTGGGCGTCAGAGAGTCGGTAAATGGCTGCCAGGAGTCCTCGGCATCGCGGAGCCTTGCATCCTGGCCAAAGGGGACAATGCGCGTTTGATGAATTGCATTAGGACATGTAAGTAATTATAATCAATTAAATAAGCGGCTCAGTTCATGTGGCTGCCAGCAATTTACTCTTCGTTATCCAGGGATAGAGCAGGTTAAGTGAGGGTTAAGAAGTCCAAGCTGATATCACAGCAACACAAACAAACAAACAAACAAAGTTAAATAAATCTTCAGCTTTAGTCGCTGAACTGCTTGCAGTTTCCCCTGCTTTCAGCCGGACACTTCATGAACAACACCTTTAAGCTTAAGAGGATCCCTGCTTGCAAGCAAACTTAAAGTTTCAGAAGAGCACTGCTTGAACCAAAGAAAAAACGAATCAAACCTTACAGTTTGAGCAGCTCACTGCTTGATCGCTGCCTTGTAAGGGGAAAGCGATTAGAACTTTCAAGCATAAAATTACGAAATGCTTCTACCATTAAAAGTGCTTCAGTATTCTTTGGAAAAAAGACTCTACTCTACCCATTTTGCTCTACTTTCTTGCCAAATTATGGCAAGGAACAACCAGAACAACCATCAATATCCAACAGTTGTGTGGTCTAAGCAAACAATGGACAATCCAAACTGTGGCCTCAAGTGTGCGGAAATGTGGAGCCATGAAGTTGCCATATCCCATTGCAATTTTTCGATTAAAATTCCAGTTTGCAATTCAATTAAACACTAATTAAAAGACATTTTTCCGCCAAGCTTTGGCAGCTGGCAGCCCTTTGACAACTTGCCTCAATCTGTGCCTCCTGCTCTCTGGCTCCCTGGTTCTTTCCCCAGGGATCTGTGTGGGACTGTGACGAGTGGCAGCGGATGTGGGCCGCCACCCATCCAACCGGCCGCCCAGCCGCCCAGCCACCCAGCCAGGATAAGGCAAGTCGACAAATGCGCACAAACTGTGATAAATGGAGGCGCAACCAGGGGGAGGAGGAGTTAAGAGGCAGAGTGGGGAGTGGCATAATGAATGCCATGAAAGGCAGCCGAAGACAAAACACAACAAAAACTAAGCCAAACGAGTGGAAGGAAAAGGAGGAACGTATAGAGCAGCGGGGGGCATCAAAGTGAAGTCTTTTTTGTGCAACATTTTTTTCCTTGGGCTCTCCCCAGCTTTGACTTTGTGTAGGACAGTGTAAGCGAGTGAGTTAATTTTCTGGCCAACGCAAAAGCTGCACTGCACGGAATTCGAGTTCGTAAAAGAGTAATTTTCATCTCCTGCCGTTGCACCTTTCTGTCTTTATGCCTGCCTCTTCCTGGTGGCAACTACTTTGTGGCAAATCGAGAACGGGGAAAACACAAACAAACTGGCTAAGAGGCAAAGCACTTGTCAATTATAGTTAACTGACGGATAAAAGGGGGGAAGTGAAGTGCCCTTTGGGGCTAAGCCACTTTCCAGAGAGAATAGAAAGTCCTTTGGTACATATATTTTATGGATTCCTTTGTTAACCAAAAGCTCATTACATCCGCAGCCATAAAGCCAATTACATTTCTGGCAATACTGATACTCTTCATTTTTCCTTTCCTAAACATTCCTCTATCCACCCATAAATTCAATCACCTAATAATCCCCAAATGTCATTGGCTATTCTCAGCCAAGATTTCCTCCGTATCAATTAGCCGGCATTGAGAACGAACTTTTGCTAATTACTAGCAATTTTGTGGTGAATTTTGCTATGCGATACAAAAATGTCGGGCCAAGTTAGCTGAGCTCTGAGTGGGGCTCAGAGCAGCTCAAAGTCAGGGGCCATCAAAGGCAAAAAGGACTTTCGAGCGTTTCGCATTATCCGGTTGGCTGTGCTCGTCAAAGCTCGAAGCGGATGCAGTGGCGGGTTGCATCCTGCCAGGAACCAGAAACAAGAGACAGGCAGAAGAGGGACGGGTACTAGTACTTGTCCTGCAAAATATTCGATGGCAACTTGTCGGAAACTGCTTAATTGCATCTCAGCTCAATTATGCAACTTAAACCCTTTTCTCTATCGTTTCTATCTCTCTCTCTCTCTCTCATCCCATTTTCTATCTCTCTTCCTTTTTTTCTCTGATTTTTTTTTCCTGCTGTGGAGTTCGAATTTTGTGCACTTGACATCGGGCTGAGAGAGAGGGATAGATATGTACCCGGCTTAGTTGCATATCATTATGATAAAAGTTCATGTCATTGGCTTGCTTTTGCTCATTTTTCATGCTGACCCATCCATGTCCGACCTTCGGTTCAGTGAAAGTTGTAAATTCTTTTACCGTGGTATTGTTTTCGCTTGCGAACGAAGCACCCGGCTAATGCCGTAATCCGATTTGGGATTGAAAATTCATAGAATTTTTATTCAAAAACAACAAAAAAAAAACCCAAAAAAAAAAAGAGAGAGCGAAAGTAAACCAAACAAAACCGATGCTATGCGATGCGATGCGCTGCGAAGTGAAACAACAACAAAAAACTCATGCACACAAATAATAATTGCCAGGACGTGGTTGGCAAAGCGCACCATAAAAAATAAAGCTCCGCACGGACGTGATCCTCGACGAGAACAATGCGGAAGCGGGTCCGCATAAATTTCAAACTAATTACAGTTTCAGTGTCCGGCAGACACCCACACACACAGAAAAAGTTACAGAGAGAGAGGGGTAGAAAAAAGAGAGCAGCATTTTAACAATCGATGCGAAAACCATAAAAATTACAAATACAAATGCAAATACAAACAGAACGAGAAAACGGGGAGCAGGGAACAGGGAACAAAAAACAAGCCAAGGGAATGACCCCCTTCAGCACACACACACACACACACACACAAAGGCAGGAAAGAAAGTCGGTTGAGATTTGGGGAAAAGGAAGCTCGTAATGATACCCTTTCGATGAGTGTTACTATCGGGGTATGCCTGCCATCTAATGCATGAGATGCATGGCATACAACTGTCTTAGATGGAGTAACTGGCTCTCCACCTGTATATTCCCCCAAGTAAATCGCGTCCTCAAGTAAATATTATATATTAAAAATGTTGCTAAAATTATACAAATCTGCGACTCAAAGCAAACGTAAAGGGGAAAGTGTATAGAACCCAACCACAAACAGAATACCAAAGAACAGATTACAGCTTTTTGGTGAGTCCGCTTAATGGCCGGGTCTAGAGGGCCAGAAAAGAATCATTTTGGTGTGTGGTAAGGGGGTTGTGGGAGTGGCTGTCTGTGTGTTTTTGTGCTGTTGGCTTTCTGTTGTTAAACCCATTCGGTGGCAGAACCAAACACGCCGCCGCCGTCACCTCCGCCGTCTGCTCGACCACAGTGAAAACTCATTAATTCATTCTTCGTTCGTTTGTTGAACTTAAAATAACAGCGTTAATCCGCTTAGCGCCACCATTCACAACTAAAAACAGTCGCCCAGGAACAACAGCACTGAAGGCACTGAACACAGCAGGCGCTCCCACCCCCCACTTCCCACTCACTGGAGTTTGCCTCGCTGGATGCCTGTGCAATCAGCGGGACTGCGGTCGGTGCCTGACAATGCCGCTGACGATGGGGGATGACACTGACAATGTCGCGCCGCCGCCTACAAACAAAATGAATTAAGGAAACCGCAATGACATAGTTACAGTGGCAGTCACACACAGATACTGTCACTCACACAAACACACTCACACACAAAAACAGAAAACAGAAAACTGTTATCCATAAATGTGTCTGTGTCTGTGT